AGCCTGCTTCTCCCTCTCCCCCTCCCCCTGCTTGTGTTCCCTCTCTCACTGTGTCTCTCTCTGTCAAATAAATAAATAAAATCTTTTAAAAAAAAAAAGTCTAGCAGCCTGTTCGAAATTTTATCATATCTGCATTCTCATTTTATTGTGTTAAGCAATCCACTGAGGCCTATCTAGCTCCAGACAAAACTGAGGCCCACAGTAGTTAAATGACTTGCCTAAGGTCACAAAGTAATAAAGCTTGGACTAGAATCTGGGTCTTAGGACTTTTTGTTCAGTGATCTTGTTCAGTGATTTTCCCGCCCAAAAGGAGAAGGTACTGTAGGCCCTTTCAATGTGAGCCAAGGTTTGCGTCTTACTCATTCAAGGTTTACTGAGTATCTACAATGAATAAGCCAGGCTCTGTGCTAGGCATGGAGCTAAAGCAGGAAACAAAACAAAGTCTCGGCCCTCATGGAGCTTGCATTCTAGTGAGCAAACAGATGCTTTACAAATAAATCCACATAAATGGAACATGACAGGGGTTGTAAGTGCACTGAAGAGAAATAAATCAGGGTAATAGGGACTAGAGAATGATGAGGAGGGTCTCCGGGGAAGAGCCTTTTGAGCAGAGACCTTATGGAATGGGAGAGTGGCCCGCACAGAAATTGGGGGAATAGAGATCCACAAGAGGAAATCACAGGTGCAAAGGCCCTGAGGCAGCTGTGTGTTGGCATGTGTGAGGAACAGCCCCACAGCCAATGTGGCCATAAGAGAAGGTGAGAAGATGAGGTTAGAGGGCAGCCAGATCACACGGGGTCTTAAGGTGAGGGCTTTGAGTTTTGCTCAACGTGTGAGGGAATCGATGGGTTCTAACTGATATCTTTGAGTCACTACTCAGAGCATTGTTTCATAACTGTGAGTCATGATCCATATTCTGTCTCATCCAGGAGCCGTCCTGGGGTCTGTGATGGGAAGAACTGAAGGCTGGCCATGGATCTGGAAAGTGATGACCTGCAGTTTAGAGGCAGATGAATACCAGGACACCTCCCCCAAATCATCAGGGCCCTTGGGGGCTCCTGGAATGTTTCTGCGTGGGCCCTGGCCTGACAGAAAGATGGAAGATGGTGGGATAAGTCAATCCTCCCTCAGAAGGTGGCTGAGAAGTCTGAGGTGAAGTACATAGGGGCAGACCCGAGCCCTGGCGGCCTCTAGGGAACTCGGGAGTGCGACTGCCCCTGGAGGAGCCCCGCTCCAGCCAGCGAGGCCTGCTCTAGCATCAGTTCCTGGTTCCTCATTCTTGCCATGCTCCAAATCTGCGCCCTGCGGTTTATTCAAAATCTCAACGGTAGCTTTCCCCAGCATGCTCTGAGAGAAGGGTCAGAGGGGCTGCCTTGCCTAACACGTAACAACAGAAGTGGTTTACTCATCCCCTGCTATGGGCAGGGAGTATCTCTGACCTGTCTCCCAACAATCCTACGCCATCCGAGCATCACCATTCCGCAGATGAGGGAGCTGAGGTTCAGAGAAAGTCAGTATCTTGCCAAAGGCCACACAGCAAGGACTCAAAAACTGGGTTATTAAAAGAGCCCTTTCTTGTCTCCGTGTCTGCCTTTCACGGCCCTTTGCTCTTCTCTCTCCTTCCCCTCATTCACTTCCTACATCTGCGCAACACTCAACAGTCTGCCGCGGGTTAAAGCTCCTTCTGGATCAAGAATGTGGCCTGCTCACTCTTGACCAATCTCCACTCCCCGCCAACACATCGCATAGAGCAGCTTCTTAACAAATGTCTGAGGAATTAAGGTGTTGGGACCCTGGGGCCAGACTGCCCGAGTGTAAATCCTGATCCTGCTGCTTATGCGCTCTGTGATCTTGGGCAAGTTACTTAGCCTCTCTGTGCATTGGTTTTCTCATCTGTAATTCTTAATAGGATTAAATGAATTCGTTCCTGACACATTGTAAATACTACATAAATATTTGTTAAATAATTTTTAAAGAATTCATTCTAAATTCATCTTCCTTTTTCCCTTACTCCCTTTCTTTTAAGGTAATAACAGCTAATACTGATATAGCATTTACACATGCCAGCCCCTCACTGCAAGCATGTTACAGACCTTAACTCCAGGCCTGACACTGCCTCATGAAAAAGCCCCAGGCTGGGTGTCACTTATGGGTCACAAGGCAACTGGTGGGGAAGAGTCTAGAGAAGAGCATGGCAGGCCATCTCCCACAGGACCCAGGATTAGCAGAACCAGATGGAGGTTGGCCTGGTTTTGGGTTCCGAGCCTCTAAGAAGTTTACAGATCCTCAGCTACGAAGAAAGGGCCATAAAAGTGGCTGGATAGCAAGCAGGACCTACAGAGCCCCACTTCAATAAGTTCGTTTGCCAGATGACCTGTAATATGCAATAAAAACCAAGATTCAACAACTATAAACCTCCAAGAGGACTTCTTGCATTAAACCTTCTGAGATAAGCATGAACACACGCCATCTGCCTGTGCCCATGTGAATGGGCTGCGTCAAGAGGCAGGAGCCTCGGCTGGGCGTCTGCCTTCGGCTCAGGTCATGATCCCGGGGTCCTGGGATCGAGCCCCACATCGGGCTCCCTGCTCGGCGGGGAGCCTGCTTCTCCCTCTCCCACTTCCCCTACCTTGTGTTCCTGCTCTCGCTGTGTCTCTCTCTGTCAAATAAATAAATAAAATCTTTAAAAAAAAAAAAGAGGCAGGAGCCAGGTTGGCAAGGTCCTTCCCATTGTCCCTGTACATATTCACTTCGAAGGTAGCGATCACTTCCTTGTTCAGCGCACTTTTGAAAAGCACCTTCTCTGGGAGTGTGGGGTAGCAATGGGACAGTCACAGGAAGGGGCCCTGGTAATGTTCTGTTTCTCGTTTTGTTTCTGGGAGCTGCTTCTAGGAGTGTGGTCACTTTGTGAGCCGGGTATGCTTTTCTGGATGTATATTATACTTCAGTGAAAAGTTTTTAGACGTGTCCATTCTCCCTCACTATATTTGTATAGTGTTGTATAGAGTCTCCCTCACTGTTTGTAATGGGTAACAATGGACTCAACCCAAAAGTCCATAAAATAAATTATGTCACATCCGTAGTATGGAAGACCATGAAGCCATTAAAAAAATGAGGCAGAGATATAAAACAAATATGGAAAGATACTGCAATCTAGTGTTAAGCCAAAAAAGGAAATTACAAATAGTGTTATCTCAAATCTGAAGCAAACAAACCAACATTGGGTTGAACCATGATATACGGTTGATATTTGACCATTTTATATGGTTTATCATATATATATGTATATATACACACATATGGCATAAAAGTATGTATATAGGTAAATTTGTAAGAAAATTAACCTCAAAAATGTACTTTGAACTGTTAACAGTGGGAGTAGATGTTTGATTTCTGTGTTATACATTTCTACATGTCTTTAATTTTTTATAATGAGCTTTGTATTGCTTTAGTGATCAGCAAAATAATAAAAATAATGATAACAGTCATAAAGATATAACTTTTTTTTTTTTTAAATACCAAACTCTTGCCCCTCAATGTTGCAGAAGGGTGGACCTGGGCAGGGAGCCAGGACTGGACTGGCGTGAACCCTAAGGTAACTTCCAACCTGGAGGCTGATTCCATCTGAAACATCCCTAGCCCAAGTGGAGTTCAGCTGTGGCACTTGAAGCACACATACCTGTAAAATTTTGGAGTAGCTGATCACAATGAGCAATCCTGGCACCAAGAAGTTCAAAGTAGCAAATGACACATCCCAGGAGATTTCTCCGGTAATGCTGGGCCAAACCAGTGTGCAAATCAGAATTTCCTAGTTACAAGAAGGAAGAGAACGTCATTTCCATGGTGGCTTCTTATTTGACTTTAGCTCAGTCCCAGTAGGAGGGTGCCCCAAACTGTTACACTGGGGTGTTACCACGACGCAACTAGGATGACAAGGAAGCTCAGCATCTCTTCCCCTGCCCAGGCAAACACACCTATGAATCATTTCTCTCTGACCCTCAGAATAACCACAACTATTATGCCCATTCTCCAGGAGATGCAACTGGGTCTCAGGGTCACATGCTGGTAACAGCTCGAGTTAGTTCCCGGGCATGACTTCAGGCCCAGTGTTCTTCCCACTTCCTTAGATTGAGCTGCCAAGAGCCCTGGAGCCTTCTCTGCCAAGTCCCTCATTTTACAGATGACAACCCTAGATTGGAAGTGACATGCTGCACACAAGCCTATACAAACAGGCGCGAGGTTGCAATGCAGTCACCCTGGGACCACTGAAGACACCAGAAACGATGTTAAGGCACTAAGGGTTCATTTGGGGGACGTGCAAATGTCTAAAATGCGTCAAGCTGCATCAAAGAAAGCCGCAGCTTGCCCCAAGACAATCCTGGGGCCCAGACTTGGAAGCTCTCTCCTCACGTGTCTCTCCTTGCAGAGGGTCACACGACAGCCCCACATAAGATGGAAAACCACTGGCATGGGGCGGAAAGGCCTGGTTTGTGACCTTGCTGTTGTCAGTATGTTGTGCTGAATTCGAGCATTTGACGCTAATTACCAACCTCGAAGCGTGTGGGGACATTATTACATAGTTACTAGGAGCTGCCGCAACAATTTCCTCCAAAGAATAAATAGGTCAATGAAAAGAGATCTGTCTGTCTGTCTCTCCTCCCAAACACAAATTTCCCGTGCCTGCTTGACTATAGGAGCAAACTATTTGGAAACCAAGTTGCCCTAAACACTTCTGAACACATAGAGCAGACTTTCAAGAGCACATTCTGTGTAAAAAGAGCACATTGTTGACGTTTGATGGACAAGGCATCTTAACGAATTGTAGTAGTAGGATTTATAGCATCATTCATTCATTTGGCCAATATGTGTTGAATGCTACACTAAGCAAGGGCAAAGAACTTTTATCACATATATCATAATTGGGTGCTCAAACTCAAAATGCAAACAAATAGGCACTTCTTTTCCTATTCAGTATTAACAGAAAATACTCACTGAGCATTTATTCTAAGCCAGGAAGCACTTTACATACATTATCTCCTTGAATGTTCACAACAACCATATTGAAATGCATATTATTATTTTTCCGATTACACAGAGGAGAAAAGTAAGGCTTGGAAACATCTTCTTAAAACAAGAGTCTAAGACACTAAAAGTATAGTTCTTTTTAATCATATAATATCTTCTCCAGAGAGCTAAGTGGTTATAAAAGAAATCCAGGGACCTACCAAGAAAACTCTTAAGGCAAGTCGAGCAGGGAAGAATGCTTTAATGGTATTTATACCTTGAAAGGGGGGTGAGAATGTTGCTTCCTTTTCCTGTCTCGTTTAGATGGCTCACAAATGTACTAGTCATTCCAAAAACTTGTCCCTCGATCCCCATCCCCACCATCCACACCCAAGGGGACAAAGTGCATTCGATCTTTCTACATTGTGGTGACTGGAAAGAAATGTGTGTCCTTCAAGGATCTTCTGAGTATTGGCAGTGTGATGATTATTTTGAGATGATCTCTGCCCACCATGCCCTCAGCCTACTACACCGGTGGGCAACACGGACCAGCAAATATGATGGAGCAGCGATCAGAAAAGATGATTCCAGCCCTGAATGTGCCTTGGTCTCTGATTCCTATACTTGAGATAGGAAAAGGTACCGGGAGGGCAGAAAAACAGGCCCCAGAACTGTTTCTTAAAACCCCCAAAGGCCCCCACCTCTTTCTAAAAGCTTCTCCAGAATGTCTGCCAAAATCTCTCCAGGCTTAACATGATTTTGTAGAATGTATAACAATAGAGCCAGGTGTTCTCCCTTCGATAGGAACAAAGAAGTAGATCCCCAAACACTCTGCCTGTATCAGTCCCGTGATGCTGAAGAAAATGCGTAGGTGTGAACGAACAGATATACACCTGTGTACACATGCCCACCCACCCTGACACACATATGCGTAGACAAAAGGTTGCAGGGTACATTCCAGAAAATTAAGTGTCTGTTTCTAGATGGGACTCAAGTTATTTTTGTTCTTTTGGCTTATCTGAATTTTCTAGAATTCCTATATTATTTTATAAGAGCAAAAAAAATGGCGATAAAAGTCCATTTTTAAAAGAAATGAACATCAAACATGAAACACAGATTACCATGCTAGTTTAGCAAACCTAACCAGCTATTTTTTTTTTCAACAAAAACAAGGAACTCATCCAGGAAGTTCCCCCAGTTTCATGACTCTGATGAAGACGCTCCTTTACCTTCTGATTTCTGGCGCTCGCTCTAAGCACGGAGTGTGATAAGGAAGTAAGATAAGAACTTTGCACAGCACCCCCAGGCATGACCGAAGTGACGGTGCAACTGGCCTGTGTGGACCGAATGACGGATTTATATGCTCTTTAGAAAGCTTTATATGGTATCCTTGGTGAAGTGCAGTGTTTATTCTCATTTAAAAATCTAACAACAGGCACCAGGCGCACAGTCAGAGAGCTGGCCTGGTATTACAATTGTGTTTTTGTGGGAAAATCTGTCTGACTTATATTATTTTGATTCTAGGTATTCTCTCCCGGGCTGTGACTTAGGAGGGAGCGTGGTAGTAAGTCGGCTCTGGAAGGTGGGAGACGTGAATTTTATAATATTCCCTCTACTTTTTCTGCACATTTGAAATGTTTCCTGATTTTAAAAAGGAAACTTGAAAACCCAGAGGGCTAGCTCTGCTTTGTTACTGAGCTACAGAAGCAGAGCTGGCCAAGTCAGCGACTGTTCTTTAATTGCTTTGTTCAACCACCTGCTGACTCGAGCCCTGGTGGCTGCATCACCGTAGGCCACAGTGAGGATGGGCAAGGCGAGGCCCCTGCCCTCAAGGGGGCTCTGATGTGCTCAGGGAGAGAGAGAAGCGCTAAGAAGCTTCAATACAGGGCAGCGAGCCGCAGTGCCCAGAGCTACTGGGGACAGGCGAGCGCAGTCCCAGAGGAGAGCGGCATCCTGGGGGTGGGGGGGAGGGCTGAGTCCACTGTGCCTGGAGGGATGGGGCTTCAGTCAGGAGAATGGGGAGGCTGGAGCTCAGTGTCGGGACCAGAAGGGATGAAGGCAGGAGGCCACGTACAAGGGTGTTAAGTGTGGTTAAGTGTGACTTGTACCCCCATCCCAACCTCTACCTCTCCTGGGCAATCTCATCCATTTCCATGGTTTCTTTTCCAAGACACCGATGCTTTCTCCAGCCCTGTCTTCTCCTGAACCCCAGACTGGCCCCTGTGCCCTGAGGACATCTCTGAAGGCTGCCTCACAGGCATGTCAGGCTCCGATGTCCCACCCCAGAAGGCTGCACCTCCTGCCATCCCTGACTCAGGGCATGGAGTCGCCGTTCCCTACGCTGCCAGCAACCAGAGTATGGGCTTTCTGCCGTCTCCCTCCTCCCTCCCCACTCAGAGGGAAACATTAGGCTTTGCCTTAATAGCTATCCAACCCCCTCCATCCCCGTATCTCAGTCTCGCTGGCTCACCCATCCCAGGCCACACCATCTCTCACCTTGTAAGTCCAAACTCCCTCCATGGGCACACCTGGCCCTTCTCCAGCTGGCCCCTGCCACTCCTTCCAGCACCATGTCTTGCCAACACATGGGCTATTTCCTCTGCCTGTAATGTCCCTCCAGTTCCCCACATCCATGTCTGGCTAACTGCCTTTCATCTTCACCCACAGTTGAGATACCACTCATTCTCTTCTGAGAAGACTCCCCTGTGGATGGGGGCATCTATCCATAGACACTGCTCAATGCGGACCCTTCTCCACCCTGGTTGACTTATTTGCAAATGCCACCTGATTCCAGCTATTTCTTGTCAACTCCTCTAGTGATGCTTCTCCGAGTAGCCCTGAGGGTCCCTTTGTAAACCATTCTCCCTCTTCCACCTCTTCAAACAAAATGAAAGACTTCGAGAGCACTTTAAGGAAGTGGGAATTCTAGTGGATATCCCCTTGTCTACCAGCTTCCCAACAGAAGAGAAAGAACATATCAAGGCAAGAGATGCACTTATATCTTAAAGGTATCCTCTAATAGTAACAGAGGCCGGCCAACTGTGTTTATCGCCTCAGTCAATTCACACTCAACGGAGACACGACGGCCTTCCGGCCTGCTATGAGATTGGGGCAGGCAGAGCAGTAAGACAGAGGGCTCCTAAGGAAGTGTGAACTCGCGGGAAAAGGCGCGGGGAGAAGCACAGACCACGGCTAAATTCTGGTTCCATCCCTTGTCTGCTCTGTGACTTTAGCATTTCCCCCTTTGGAAAATGAACATACGAACACCTATTTGTAGGGTTTCTGCGAGAACCAAACTGGGCCAGGGTCTGAGACCATCTGCATTGTCAATACGTGCACCTCCTTGATCAGGACGCCGTCGTGGTCATGTGACTCGTGGTGAGGGCAGTGGGGCGAGGGGGGCGGGTGCTCGGTAAATGTTTGTGCAATGAATAGGCAGCACATTCTGGCCGGGGTGGACAGTCCCCCCAACCTGCCGAAGGGGGTCAGTGCCTGCCAGAGCCACAGCACACACAGGCAGGAATCCTGTTGGAACAGGCTGAGTGGACCTGGCTGAGATGTCTCTGTTGCTAGAATGTGCCCACCCTCTTAAAATGGCAGTCTATTGGGGCGCTTGGGTGGCTCAGTTGTTAAGCATCTGCCTTCGGCTCAGGTCACGATCTCAGGGTCCTGGGATCGAGCCCCACATGGGGCTCCCTGCTCAGCGGGAAGCCTGCTTCTCCCTCTCCCACTCCCCCTGCTTGTGTTCCCTCTCTCGCTGTGTCTCTCTCTGTCAAATTAATAAAATCTTTAAACAAAAAATATGGCAGTCTATTGTTTTACAGCAATCAGAAGAATTACACTATTTAAAGAATGTTTGAAATATTTATAACCAAAGATAAGGAAACTAATAATAGCTGGCAATTCCTGAGTGCTTAACTGTGTATGTACCAGGTGTTGGCTCGCTCACTGAACACTAGTCCCCATGGCAATCCTGTAAGGCTCTACTCACATCATGCCAGTTCTACAAATGAGGAAAGGAAGGTATAGAGGTGGGGACCCCTCGCCTCTGTCACACAGCCCCTAAATGACAGAGATGGGATTCAGACTCGGAACACTGGGCTCCAGAGCCCACACTCCGAATAACAAATTATCTATCATTCTTAGCGTGTCTATCATTTCATCCTCCCCTCAGAGAAGTTTGAGGGAGGCTGGTCACCCTGGACTGCGGGGCACCCACTGCCCAAATGGACAAAGGTACTCATGTTGCTGTTCTGGGGAACTGGGGGGCACTCGGATTGGCAGAAAGCTCTGAGAGGCGCTGTTGCCCTGGCTAGCCCTCCTCAAGAGGAGGTGGCCAGTGTGTGCTTGGGGTTAGTGAGTTCCCTCAGCCGGTGGTTTGGGTAGGAAAGTGTCCCCCATCCAAAACCTCCATATTTAGTGTCCAAGTAGGAAGGGGCGGGCAGAATCTACAGACAGGAAGCTGGGAACAGAGGATTAAGAAAATAAGCTTTTGCTAATTTTAAATGTGAGACTCCGTTCCGTCTAGCCTAGATCCTTTGCTGTCTCTTTTTTTAAATGGCCACACTCTTTTTTTTCCCCCGTTTCTCATTCTTGCAACTTATTTCTTCCATCCCTGAGCCTCAGTTTGCTCACCTATAAAATGAGTTGTTTCCTAAATGCTCAGGTCACAGCCCTTGAGGAACAGGGGAGTTTTTCTGTTCCTTGGCTTGTTGGCAGGTGCACGTGGTGGGGAAAAGAAAAAGAGGATGGGGAGTTCAAAAGGACCATCTGTTTTTTTTTCTATTACAAGCTCCCTTGCCCTCCCTCTCCTAATTTCAGGGAGGAGGGCTCCTGCGACCAACTCACCTAGCCCTCAACCTTCTGAGGTGCTCTCCCAGTGGCTTTGCCCAATCCCTCTCCAAAGGCTCTATGACCAAGGAGGTGTTTCTGCGTTTATAAAGGAGAGGTCTGCATGCCCACCCCAAGGGAAACTGAGGGAAAGCCACCACAACACAAGTCTCCATGGAAGCCCCTCACAGTTCAGCTCTGGTCATCCCGGAAGTGCTTTCGAAGGCTCCGACCACACAGACACCCTACCAGAGGTAAAATACACAGTGACAAAACAGGGAAGCTCCCCCATCTGAGAGAAGGCCTTCTTGCTCAAACAACCACCTGTGTCCATGTAAGCAAGCAGTTTTAGTCTGGGAAGAGACAAGAGCCTCACTTTTTTTTAGCGTTATTTGCCAATTAAGTCTAAATGTACCTAAAACAGTTGTAAAAGGGAAGGGCACAAGGTACATGTCTGGGAACATAAGATACCCTGAAGATATAGTCTATTTGATCTTTAATTTCCTGACTGTCATTGTTTTCTGTAAGAAAAAAAAAAAACAGGGAAAAGTCCCTCAAGGTCTGTGAAAAATACAGAAACACTGTTATTCTGTGAGAGAATAACTTAAAAAAAATCAAAAGGCCAATGGCAAAACCTAGCCTCCAGCTGATCCAACCGGTCTGGGGTGAGGCCTGGTCTTTCACTTATTTTAGAATCATCTAAGTGACCCACTTTGATTCTCCAGTACATCTGGGCTGAGGAGGACAGGCCTGCCCACTAGGTTAGGGTCCTTGGTCTGCTATGCTGATGGCAGCCCACTAGCTCAGCTGAGCCCAGCCATCCTGGCCCCCACTTGAGGGGGCATGACCACAGGCTTCCATGCTCTTTGATCAAGTGCCACAGGCCTGACATGGTTCCTGTCTATTAGTCATTCAAGGCCTTAAAACAAAACAAAACAATCAAACAAAAACCCCACAATGTTCCATGCAAAAAATAAACTATTAGGAGGTCTGATTTGTGTTAAAAAGAAAAAAAGAGAGAGAGAGAGAGAGACTGCTTACACAGGATGCAGACTTCTCCCCACAAGCCATTAAAAGGCGTGTGTGAGAGACTGGTCTGGGGAGACCCCCAGAGAAACCCACATCTGTGTCCACGCTCCAGAGCACATACCCAGGAGGGCATCCTCTGCTCAGACTGTGTCCATCTCTGTAGCAGGAAGCCTTCCCCCAGGTCACATCTCATTCCCACGCCTTCCTACCTTCTAACTCCCTTCTGGTCACTGGGTAGGCCTCTCTTTGGGACTGTGGTTTGTGACGGTTTTGCTCAGGCCAGAAAACCAGTGAGTTGTAGAGAAAGGGAGGGGGCGGGGGAAAACCAGCTTAGGGCAGACCCTCGGAGAGGCTGAGCCCAGAGCAGGACACCTGCTTTCCTTTATAAAGGGCGTACAGACTTATGTCCTTTCTCTGTCCCTCCCCATGAGGCGCAGAAAACCTAGTACGCTCGGATGGCAACCAGAACCGCTGGCCACTGTCCTCCACCCGGCCGGCCTGCAGGTGCCGCGCCCCGGACTGAATCTCCGCGCACAAACCGCAACAGCGCTGCGGGGCAGCAAACAGGAAGAGACGTGGACCGCGATTCTGCACCGTGATTCTGGACTGCCGAACTGGAGTGGACCCGAGCCAATGTCATGAACTGTCCACAGAACCTTTTTTTTTTTTTTTTAGGTCATGGACCTCCACAAAGATCCTAATGACAGCTCTGAGCATACTGCTCAGAATAAAGCTCATCTGCCAGCGTCCGGAATCTGCCGAACATTCGGGCGCCCAGGATACTCTGAAGCCACCCATCATGCCAGGCTCCCCGGGGAGAGATCCTGTGGTCTAGTCTAATCCTTCCGTCTTGCACTTGGAAAAACTGAGGCCCCGGGAAAGGATCACAACACCCCTAGTGGCAGCATCGGGTCTGGGGTCCCTGGGTCTCCGATGCCCTTTCTCCCTGACTCTACCTTCTGGTTCTCAAAGCAGGACCCTTACCCAGCCCGCGCTGAATCTGCTGAGCACGATCTCGGCTCCTCCTCGCGCTAAGGATGAGATGCCCTGAGCAAGTCATTCCTCTGTGTGCCTCAGCTTCCTCATATGTAAAGTGGATGTGCTAGTAAGAGTCCCGTAGCACCCTGCGAGAAAGCAGATTTCGGTATACACGAATGCGATTAGCCATTCCGGATCCTCGAAGTTCCATCTGGCTGGCTCCTAAACTCCCCGCTATTTCACTAACCTCAATATAAAGAGTGCACTTTGCAAGCGTTTGGGGGACTCCACTTACAAGGTTTTGGAGGGCGTTTACGGGACCTACGTCGCTGCAGTGAAATTTTAGAGCTAAAACTTCAGAGCACCCGGCACAGTGACACGACGATTAAACGCAACAAATCGCCTATTCCTGTTCTGTTGTTTTTGTTACTCATTATCCCAGGTCATCGTTTCCGTGGGATCCCCGCCTGCCAGCCCGCCCCAGACACCTGCCTGGCGCGCACAGCCCGGCGCTCACCTGGTCCCGGCCGGAGGGCCGCTGGGGGACGACGCGGAAGAAGACGCAGAGGGGTAGCGCGGCCAGCGCCGAGTAGCCCCAGATGAGCGCCAGCAGCGCGGCCCTCGCCCGCCGCCCCAGGCCCCGCATGCCCCGCTGCAGGCGAACGATGCACACCATGCGCTCCAGGCTGACGGCCGCCAGGGTGAGGATGGTGACGCTGCCGCTCAAGCTCATCACGTAGAAGAGCAGGTGGCAGGCGACCGGGCCCAGCCGCCAGGCCTCGGTCCATCGCACGGCCAGCACGGGCGGGATGGCGCTGGTGAAGAGCAGGTCTGCGCAGAACAGGTTGAGCACCAGGCAGGCGGTGTTGCCGCGGCGCCGACGGCGCGGCACCAGCACCAAGGCGCACACGTTGCCTAACAGCGACACCGCAAAGATGAGCGCCAGCACGACCGTCTCCACAGCGGTCAGCACCAGCCGGTGGTCGCCCTTGACGTCGGAGAAGAATGGGAAGCGGGTGCGGTTGGCCCGCTCCAGGCTGCGCGGGGACCCTGTGCCCGCCGCCTGCGCGCACTCAGGGGACATGCCGGGCGCCCGGCGGCCCGCAGCCGTCTGCGAGCGCGCTCATCTGGGAGGCGACTGAGCGCCAAGGCGGGGAAAGAGGGAGGGAGGCGGTTGCGACATCTCCCCTCTGGCCCCCTCCCGCCGCAGGAGCGCCGGCGCTGGGCGTTGCGCGCTGAGCCTGGGGCGCGCGGGAACGAGGAAGTGCCAGGCGACACGGCTGCAGACACCCGGGCTAGGCGGCGGCCGGTGCCCGGGCCTCACGCCCTCGGACTCTGGGGGAGCGCCTGAGAGGCCGGGAAAGCCCACCTAGAGAACCCCCTGGAACCCCTGCAGGGCCTCCCCAGCTCCTGTCATCCTCCAGGGGCATCCTGTGTGTGAAACCCCTAATCCATCGATTTAAGTAAAATTGATTTAGGAGTGTCAGAGCTGGGCTTCGGAGATCATTTTGGAGATCTATGTTGTTCAGGCTTATCAGAGAAGCCCTGCGGGTCTGGGGGTAGATTCCAAAGCACTCTGCAATGGGCCCAGACCTTTTTGGGGGAGCGGGGAGAGGGAATCGTTTGTTTTATCATTGCTTAGTAACATGTGACCTTGGCTAGATTATTTTATTTCTCCGTTCCCCAGGGGTTTTTTTCGTCTATAAAATGGGACTAAAATATCTCATTGGGTAATTGTGAGGATCATATAAAGAGATGAACACTTGGCACATAGTAATTGCTCCTGAAATGTCATCAGTTATTAGTTTCTATAATAAAAATGTATGTACATTTTGCATTTTGAGCAACAAGCAAGGATACAAAAATGCTTTCATGTAAAAAGAGTGGGGTCCCAAAAATCTTGAATAAGCTTGGCACCCCAGAAAGACAGACACTCCACGATTTTCAGGCAGACACACAGGCTGGCTGTGAATGTGTCTCAAACACCCCAATTTGAGAAGCACTGGGCAATCCAGTCCCCTTTATATATAAGGAAACTGAGGCATAGTGAGAAGTGACTTGTTCAAGGTGGCCCCTGGTTAGTAATAAGAGCTGGGTCCCCTGCCCCATGTCTTTCCACCACCCCCACAGTGTCTAGTTTTCTGTTACAGTCAATTAGGCAGTTCGAGAATGAAAAATGTGCTTGTGACCCTAGACCCAGTGACTACTTCCCTGGCTGGCCCCTCCCCCACTGCCCCTCTCCCCTTTGCCATACTCCCAGGCCTCTCCCAGGGCCACATTCTGTCTGTGTATTTATTCAGGATTTGGCACACCAGCCTGAGGTGCTGTCTGTGGAAGGGATGCAGTCTGCTTATCACTGTGTCATGTGTTGACAGCGTGACCTCTGACCTGAGGAGTAGATTGCATGTCCGTGGAAGATGTTCAACTGGAAACTTGAGGAAATCCAAGTTGTAGGTGCTTCAAGAGTGCTTCCTGACCCTGTTGAAAAGGGGCAAGAGGTTGAAAGAAAGGAAACTCATATGGGATTTGGCAACTGTCTGGGGTCAGGGTATATTCGTTCTTTGCGTGAGGGTAAAGAGAGCTGTGTGTGGGGGAGGGAGAGAGACAGGGTTGGTGGAGGTAGGGGGGTGGATTCCATTAGCACAGACTCGTGTGCCATGGGGACAGGATAGGTTTCCCCAGAGTGAGCAACCAACGTGGGGTGGCAGGGCGAGAAGGTCTTCTCCATCATTACCCTCCAGGTTCTTCCAATGGCAAAACAGTGAGTGCAAAGTTTCCCGAATTTTCTACTTTTACATTGCCTTCGTGGCACCCCCAGGCCAAAAGAAATACCTGACAGTTTCATTTATTAAGCAGCTGTGTCCAAATGACTTACTAAGACTTTATGTCCTAAGAGCTTAGTAGCCATCTGGGAAAACAATAAAGGTGAATGAAAAAATAATGTTTTGTTTCATTCTTAAATAGACATAGTGACTTCCTCATGGGAGGGTGCACCTGTTGAGCTCTGCAAAACTGAGAATCAGACTGGACACTGCTACTCTCATTTCCTGCTCCACAGTGGTTTTCGTGTGTCTGCTTTTTATCACAATAACCCCTGAAAACGGAATTTTTTAAGTGGGCTTCAGGTTGAAACTGTGAATGACCTAGAGCTAGTAGTTCATGGGGAGTCCAGTGGATGTTGAGTAGTCCTGTGTTTCCCTGAGCACCCAAGCACACGTGGGCACATGGCTAAGAACACAGGCTTGGAAACTCGCCTGCCAAGATCAGAATCCTGAGGCACTGGGGTGACTCAGTCCGTTTAGTGTTTGCCTTCGGCTCAAGTCCTGATCCCAGGGGTCCTGGGGTCTGGCTCCCAGCTCAGCAGGGTGTTGGCTTCTCCCTCTCCCTCTGCCCTTCCCCCTCCCCCTGCTCGTTCTCTCTCTCCCAAATAAATAAATAAATAAAATCTTAAAAAAAAAAAAAGAATACTGACTATATAACTCACTAGAGTCTCAGTCTTCCCATATATAAAAAGGGTATAGTAATGGTACTGATCTCTTAGGGTCTTAAGGGGATTAAATGAAGTTCCTACACGTAAAGCACTTAGCACACTAGTCGTCCAGCGCTCAACACTGTTTATGGACTAAAGGACTGACCACACATCCCTGTTTGCTGAGACAGTCTCCAGCTATGAAATTATTATTAGAACCCTCTTTCCCTCTCATACTGCCCTGGTTTGGAAGATAAATTCTGTGGCGTGCTCACATGAATTATTAAATTCATGGGGTGCTCATCAAGTCGCCACAGGCACTGGGAGTTAAATTTAAGTGGTCTGACCCCAGGGCCCCTGCTCTTAACCACCAACACACACACACACACACACACACACACACACACCGCACCCCACCCCCCACCCCCGCAGCTGCAGAGACATAGGGAGACGTTTTTGGTCGTCACAACTTGAGGGTTGCCACTGGCATTCAGTGGGTCGGGGAGAGGCCAGGACTGCTGCTGGACACTGTACAATGCACAGGACAGTCCCCACGACAAAGAATCGTCCGGCCGCAAAATGCCAATAGTGTTGAGGTTGAAGATCCCTGTAGCAGAGGTGGTTGCCTCACCAGGCTATACCTCTTACTGTTGGTATCTGTTGTAAAGTCCCACCTAGTGGCAAAAGCCAGAAATGGTATTATTGTCCCCCGTAGGCATTTCACGGAAGACTCTGTAATCCCTTTAACCAAACCACAGGTGAGACTCAGCTTGCTGCTCTGGCCCCAGGTGGGCACAGCTATAAAATGTCCGTGGTCCACGGGACAGGATGTGAAGTCATCAGGGTGGATCGACCTCACAAGTTCCTCAGAATCAAGACTGCCAGCAACTGCAGGCTGAGCCCTCATTACAAGAGTGGTATTTATTGCTCAGAGTTGTTAATTACTATTATTACTATAACTTTGCAATATAGTTTGAAATCGTGATGACTCCAGTTTTGTTCTTTTTTCTCAAGATTGCTTTAGCTATTTGGATCTTTTGTGGTTCCATACAAATTTTAGGATTGTTTGTTCTATTTCTCTGAAATGTGCCATGGGAATTTTGATAGAGATTATATTGAATCTGTAGATTGCTTTGAGTAATATGGGCATTTTAACAATATTAATTCTTCCAATCCATGAGCATGGAGTATCTTTCCATTTATTTCTGTCTTCTTCATTTTACTTCATGAAGGTCTTATAGTTTTCAGTGTATATAGGCTTTTCACCTCCTTGGTTAAGTTTATTTCTAGATATTTTATTCTTTTTGATGTAATTGTTAATGGAATTGTTTTCTTAATTTCTCTTTCTGATAGTTCATTGTTAGTACATAAAAACACAAGGGATTATTTTGTGTTGATTTTGTATCCTGCAACTTTATTGAATTTGTTTATTAGTTCTATCAGTTATTTTTGGTGAAGCCTTTAGGGTTTTCTATGTATAAAATAATATCATCTGCAAGTAGTGACAGTTTTACTTCTTCCTTTTCAATTTGGATGCCTTTTATTTCTTTTTTTCTGGCTAGGGCTTCCAATACTATGTTGAATAAAAGTGGCAAGAAAGAGCATCCTTGTCTTGTTCCTGATGTTACAGGAAAAGCTTTCAGCTCTTCATCACTGAGGATGATGTTAGCTGTGGGCTTGGCATATATGACCTTTATTATGTTGAGGTACATTCCCTCTATACCTGCTTTGTTGACAGTTTGTTATCATAAATGAGTGTTGAATTTTGTCAAGTGCTTTTTCTGCATCTATTGAGATGATCATGTATTTTGATACTTTGCTTTGTTAATGTGGTATATCATATTGATTGATTTATGGATGTTGACCCATCCTTGCATCCCTAGAATAAATCCCACTTGATCATGGTGAATGATCCTTTTAATTTATTGTTGAGTTTGGTTTGCTAATATTTTATTGAGGATTTTTGCATCTATGTTCATCAGGAATAATGTCCTGCAATTTTCTTTTTTTGTGGTGTCCTTCTTTGGTTTTGGTGTCAGGATAATGCTGGCCTTGTAAAATGAGTTTGGAAGCTTTCCCCCCTCTTCAATTTTTTGGAAGAGTTTGAGAAGGATGGGTATTAAATCTTTGAATATTTGGTAGAATTCACTGGTGAAACTTTCTGCTACTGGACTTTTGTTTGTTAGGCGGTTTTTGATTACTGATTCAATCTCCTTACTAATAATTGGTCCGTTCAGATTTTCTACTCCTTCATGATTCAGTCTTAGACAATTGTATATTTCTAGGAATGTATCTATTTCTTCTAGGTTGTCCAATACATTGACATATAATTGTTTATAGCAGTCTCCTATGATCCTTTTGATATCAGTTGTAACTTCTCTTTCATTTCTGATTTTATTTATTTGAGCCCTCTCTCTTTTTTTCTTAGTGAGTCTAGCTACCATGTAATCTGGCAATTCCACTTCTGGGTATTTATCTGAAGAAAATTAAAATGCTAATTTTAAAAGATATATGCACCCTTATGTTCATTGCAGCATCATTTACAATAGCCAAGATATGAAAACAACCTAAGTGTCCATTAATAGATGAATTGATGAGGAAGATGTGACATACACACACACACACACATACACACACATGCACACACA